AAAGAATATTTTAGCATTAAAAACACCCACATCCACATTGTTTCCTTTGCTTGTCAGCTTTGTAAATCACGAGAAGTTACTGAATAATAAGCATTGTGTCCACGTGGAGTCTTATGTTTTTGGCTTCATTCAGGTGAAATCTAAGGAAGTTTTCATTCCCGCTAGAAGTATAATGGATTGCCGGGACTGTAAATATGCTTGCAGATTTTCTGTTGTAAAAAAAGGGGAAAACAATAAATTTTATAATAGATGAATAATATTTCACAGTTTCACCTTCTACAAGTACAGACGCATCCATTGTGTGAGTGAACAATGCTGGTGTTGTCATTGACTAAACAATTATTCTCTCTCTAACTGGCTTCAACGACAGATATAGTTAAAAAGTGTTTTACAAATGTTTGATATCAGCTCATTTATTGGAGAATGGGCAATAGGGACAGTGATTTCAGTCTTTAAAGTCCAGTTTATAAATAAGATTATATATTGTCCACATATATGTTTATGCATTTAGCAGATGCATTTAGTAGACACAATGTTACAGTTATCATCACTATCTCAATAAGTTCTCTAGAGGAAAATTCCTAGTCAGAATCAGTGGTGATAGCAAAGAGGGAAGTGAATAAAAAGTAGTTGAGGGGTACAGAGGTGTAGGTAAGAATTAGGATTGGAGATGCTCTTTAAAGAGGTTGGTCTTTAGGAGTTGAAAATAGATAGGGACGCTGCTGTTCTTGTAGGTCATTCCACCATTTTGGAACAAGCCATGGAAACAGTCTGGATTTTCCTAAGCGTGGTGTAGGCACTGCTAGAAGACAATCCATTGCTGAATGGTTTGACTGAGTTGTGACATACTGTAAGTCTTTGCCAGAGGGTTCAAGTAGACGGGAGCCGTACCCTTAAGCACTTTGTATGCTACCATCAGCGTCTTGTATTTGATGTGGGCAGCCAGGGGTAACTAACCTGGCAGTAGCCAGATAGATATGTGTAGAACTGAGTTGAGTTCTACGTTAAGAATCTGGAATGGCTGGCGTACAGTCTGTCTGTAAGGACGAACGTTTACTACCATACTTGAAGCTGATTGGGTGACATCCCAGCTACAATCGCAGCAGCAAATCACAACGTTTTAGACGTGCGCCAGGAATGACAGGTGGGGCGTGTTTACTGAAATGTAGACCATTGTTGGAAGTTTACGGAGAAGTCATCATGTCATCGTGCAATGATTTTTGTAGAATTTGCCAGAAAAACCTCTGCATAAAAGTCTTGCAGCGCAAGTTTAGTATCGACAGGTGAGTCCTCCAGCATAGCCATGTTTGCAATGCCCCAGCAAGGCCATTCTGACTGTCGTAATTTCCGACATGTCCTGACCCAAAACACACTGCTTGGATGTCATTGGCCCAACGCGCTTGGTGTTACGACACTGACTTATTAGTGTTGTGAGACTAAAAACTCAGATCTTGTGACAAGCAGAGCAAGGTGACGTGAGACAATTTGGGCCACCTTGACTATAATAGTCAAGGTGGGAGACAACCACAGACTGCACCAGGAGCTGGGTAGCATGTTGGGTTAGGTATGGCCAGATCTTTCTTATGTTAGTAGTGTCAAGTAACAAGATCGAGAAACAGAGGTAACATCATCTTAAAAGTTCAGCTAGTCATCAGTCATTATACCCTACTTTCTTGCTGCCTTTAGTCTGTCCTTGATTTAGTCAAACATAAGGATCCAGTCTGGGTATAGTCTGGCATATGAAAGCCTTATTTCCAATTTTCTGAGCAAACCTCCTTGTTTGACTCCAACCTGTTACCTCGAACTGTTGGATTATATTAATTTCTTTGCTCCTTCCTTTTTTTTTTCTTTTTTTTTTACCAGTTTTCTCTGCAGTCCTTGTGTCTGACCGTGGCAGCACTGGTTCAGTGTTTGCTTAAAGAATTAGAAGAATGGACAAGTGAAGGACAAAAGAGCTAACACAGTATCATAATCATGTTGTTTGCACAACGAGAGACCTGTAACTAAACGTAGACAGAGTGCCGAGTTTTCACCTAATAGATGTTTTCAAATCACTTTGGTTGAAATAAAATACTGTTTACATATCAAACCATGATTTTTCTGGCATTAGTCATAATTCCAATAAACAAAGTTAGGAACAAATTGTCTTTGTGGCAGACTTCCATAATAAATTGCCTAAAGATTTTATTTGATGTTCTGCTTAGTGTGTTGATTGTAGATTATTATAAATGCTTAAAGACTAAATCTCTTATAAAGTATTAGAAAAATAAGAGGTTCAAATAAACCTCCCCAGAGGCAAATAGTAAATAAATTAAGAATGAGTTTTACAAAATGCCGTCTACTATAACATTTCTGACCAATACTGTGCATTTTTTTTCCCAATTAAGGTGTTTTGAAAAGAAAATGCTAAAAGCTTCAGAACTGTGCTATTGCAAAATTAGAACATTCAATAGAAGAGTTTGAAATGGCATCTGCAAAAAAAAAGCCAAAAGACAAGATAACAATGTACAGATCTTGATATCTATTCTAGAAGCTGATCAGAGGGATGAGTAAAGAGCAAAGATGGAGTTCACATGAGTGACAGGATCTTACTTTTTAATTCTGCTTGTGTGTTTGCCGAATAAAAAAAGCACAGAGGGTTGGTGTGGACGACAGTACTTTGTTAAATATAGCTCACTAACACACACTTATACTGCTGGCCCTCTTAAAATGCTTCCTCTGCACTTAAATCCTGGTATTCCACAAGGGGAAGAGTTTGGTCTGTTTGTTTTATCTGTGCGAGTGTGTGTCTGTCATGGGCACGTCTCATGGGCGGTCCTGTCTCAGATCCCTTAAACGCTTGCACCTCTTTCGCTCCTCTCATCCCCGTTCCCACGCTAACCAGACACACATCTTGAATATATTGTTACCGTAGCCTGTTTATCACCTAATGTACTGTTTACAATGTAAAAACACGATTAACTGAAAAACAATGTAATGTAAAATACTTTTCCTTCTGCTATTTAGAAGCATTTTCTATGGATTACACAGTAAAAAATAAAGATTTTCTGTCTGTAAAATCTGAAAATATGAAAGACATATAAAATTTAGTAGTGTTTGGTTTGGTGTAATGCCACTGCCCAACCTTTTTTTAGGCAGAACACAGCATTTTAAGGCATATTTTAAGTCTTTGTAGTTTTTAGTAGTGTAATACTACAGTCACACCCGGTGCCTTGTAATTATACAGATATAATTCAGTGTATTTTAGTGGTTTTACGTGATAGAGCAACACAAAGTCCAACATTGTGAAGGGAAGGAGGAAATGTCCATGTGGTTTATATTCATAAAAATGTGAGGAGCATTTGCATTCAACTCATCTGAGTCAGACCTTGTTGAACCACATTCTGCTATAATTAAAGCGGCATGTCTCTAAGAGCTCTGCCCATCAAATAAACTGAAATGTTTCTGCATCCCTTTTACATGTTTCTAGTTTTTGTTGTTTGTTGTGATTTTCTGGACTTTGACTAGGCCATTACAATAAAAGCTGTTGAGGGGTGTCCTCGCTATTTCCTCTGCATGCAGACAGAGCTATATGTGTTAAAACACCAGATTATTTAATCCTCTACTTCTCCTTTATCCTGTGGGGTTCCACAGGGCTCAGTCATAGGTCTCCTTCTTTTCTCCTTCTGTTTGCCCCTATTGTCAGGGTTCCTGTGTGTTAGTGAGTGCGAGTTATGCATCTTCATTCAGAGAGGATCTTTGGGGAGAACCTGCATAGCCTACACAGGTGAAGATAATGTTCTTAATCAGAGTGCTGGGCTTAAAAGAGCAGCAGAGCCTTTACTCAGGGTGGGTTTCTTGTGTGTAGTAGAAGTTTGTCGTTTCCTTCTAGTCTCTAGTTTCTTCTCAAGTATTTTCCCCTTACGTTATTGGTTTTTGTTTGGTTTTCAGTATTTTTGTATTTTTTCCTCTGTTCCCTTCGGACTTTTATTAAATTATCCAAACTCATCCGTGCCAACTCCTCTCTGCATTTGGGTCCTCAAAACCTCCACACAACCTGACACCTATGGGTTCTATACTTTAAAAGTGTAGGAGTGATTTTCATTATGATGCCGGCAACAGTCAAGTGAATGATTTATTGTTATTTTTAAACGTTGTGTTCTTAATATTTTGTATAATATTTTTACTTTATTATGTGCAGCACTGTTGCAGCCTTGGTTACTTTAAAATAGATAAATAAGGTAGTAGGTAGGGTGTGTTGTGTCACAGTTTTAGACCAAACATACCGGTATAATTTTTTTCATCATCTATTCAGAGCACATTTACTTTAACCTGTGAATAAACCTAATGGGACTCTTTATGACCATCTCAGTACAAGCAGTGAGTTAATTTTACCCAATGGAACCTTCATGATAAATAGGTGCCTTCTCAAGCCATTGTGTTGCACTGGGTACAGTGTTGGTAAAATAGCAGTGTTCTCAAAGAACATGTTAGACATATCTGCAGATTTAAGGAGTGTTTATTTTTTAAAAATGTGTCGTAATTGTCCCTCCACTCCACAGTTACACTCTGCTTTCTCTCAGCAGCTTAATTTTAATTAAATGCATTGATGTTTAAGGTAATAACACCACAAAATATTAACTCCAAATGTTATTAAACATCAAACAAGCCCTTTGAGTAATCACGCGAGGATGTTTTGGTACTGGTTGCTTTTGAATTCAGTACCAAAATGATTTCCTGTATCCCAATGTTTTATCACTTTTTGATGAGTAATGGTTAACATCTCTGGCATACATAGTCCACTAACTCTGTAAATTTCATTCATTACTTTGTACCATTGATGGTTGTAATTGATTGTTTGTACTTTCCACATTGAAGTGTCTATCAAGTCTGTGTTTCACCTTCTTCCAACCATATCTGCATGCCTTTCTCTTTCCTCGACTATTAAACTAACCATTATTACTGTTTTTTTTCCGTTTTTATTTGTATTAATTAAATATTTTTTTCTGCCCTTCCTATAGATTCTCTCTCCTCTCCTGGACCTGCATCAGAACCGCAATAAACTGAAGCTGTACATAAGTCACCTAACCTCTCTGTGTCAGGAGCGAGATCCAATCATATTGCAGGACTTTGCCCCGCCCCCAGCTTATCACCGCTCTGACTCCGCCTCTTGGCACACGCAGCTGCACAGCATGACGGAGGAGCAGGTGACAGAGTTTGTTTTTCTTTTTGCATCATTGTCAAGATAAGCAAACTTGTTTATCTTTCTTTCTATATACAGTGAGGGAAAATAAGTATTTGAACACTCTGCTATGTTGCAAGTTCCCCCACTTAGAAATCATGGAAGTGTCTGAAATTGTCATCGTAGGTGCGTGTCCAGTGTGAGAGACATAATTTAAAAAATATTCAGAAATCACAATGTATGATTTTCTAACTATTTATCTGTATGATACAGCTGCAAATATTTATTTGAACACCTAAGAAATTCCCTGTTAATATTCGGTACAGTAGCCTTTGTTTGCAATTTAAGAGGTCAAACATTTCCTGTAGTTTTTCAACAGGTTTGCAAACAGTGGTGAGTGATGGCCTAGTGGTTAGAACAGTGTGCTTGGGCTCTGAGAGGGTTGCAAGTACCCGGTTCGAACCCTACAGCCTGCACTCTGGCTCCCTGAGCAAATGCCTTAACCCCAAACTGCTCCCTGGGGTGGGCTGCCATTGTGGGTGCCGCACAATGGCAGCCCACTGCTCCCCTAGGGGAAAGGTTAAATCCGAGAGTTAATTACGTTGCTTTGTACTTACCAATAAAGTTGAATTCTATTCCATTCTATTTTACACTGCAGGATGGATTTTGGCACACTCTTCCATATAGATCTTCTCTAGATCAGTCAGGTTTCTGGGCTGTCACTGAGAAACAAAGAGTTTGAGCTCCCTCCAAAGATTCTGTATTGGATTTAGGTCTGGAGACTGGCTAGGCCACGCCAGAACCTTGATATGTCTCTTCCAGAGCTACTCCTTGGTTAGTACAGTTCAGTCGCCCCGTCACATGCAGAAAAATACCTCCAAAGCATGATGCTACCACCTCCATGCTTTTCAGTAGGGATGGTGTTCTTGGGAAGCTACTCATCATTGTTCTATCTATTATGGTCTCACCTGATCTCATGGCTTTCTCCCATGACTCCTCTGGATCATTCAAATGGTCAGTGACAAACGGGCCTTGATGTGCTGATTTAAACAGGGGAACCTTCTGTGCCATACATGAAACCGTGATGTCTTAGTGTATTACCAACAGTAACCATGGAAACTGGGGTCCCAGCTCATTTTCAGGTCATTGATCAGCTCCTCCTGTGTTGTTCTGGGCTGATTTCTCACCTTTCTTAGGATCCTTGAGACCCCACGAGGTGAAATCTTACATGGAGCCCCAGTCCGAGGGAGATTGACAGTCATGTTTAGTTTCTTCCATTTTCTAATGATTGCTCCAAAGGTGCACCAAGCTGCTTGGCAATTTCCCTACCGCCCTTTTCAGCCTTGTGGAGGCCTGCAATTTAGTCTTTGGCTTCTCTGGACAGCTCTTTGGTCGTTGCCATGTTAGCAGTTGGATTCTTACTGTTTGTATTGGGCGGACAAGTGTCTTTATGTAGCTAACAACCTCCAACAGGTGCATCTAATTTAGGATAATAAATAGAGTGGATGTGGACATTTTGAAGGCAGACTAACAGGACTTTGAGTGTTAGGATTCTAGCTCATAGACAGGTGTTCAAATACGTATTTGCAGCTGTAACACACAAATACATAGTTAAAAAAATCTTATATTGTGATTTATGGATTTTTATCTTCTTCATGTCATGTTTTTTCATGTCTCTCACAGTGGACATGCACCTACAATGACAATTTCAGACCCTTCCATGATTTCTAAGTGGAAGATCTTGCAAAATAGCAGGGTGTTCAAATACTTATTTTCCTCCCTGTATCTGAGGTTTTTAGGCTAATTATTACCCAGAACCTGGATCAAATTCACAACTTCTTCAGGTTCTAAAACTAGCCTGAGTGTGTCTGAGTTCTATTTGTTGACATATGAATTTTGGCATGTGTATGAGTGAGATTCAAGGCCCACACTGGCTGGCTTGGGAGGTTTTCTGGCAATAGTTTTGACGTTTCTGAAATATTTACTTCAACGGGTCTCTTGTTGACAAGCAACTGGCTGCAGAACAAATACTGGATAAGACATTTATCTGACCGTACAGTGCAGGGAGTGAACTCTACTTCAGGTTTCTGACAGGATGAGGAAGGTGGGTTCATGTGCACCGCAGCAAGACAGTGGAAGAGGTTCTGTTTTGCTGAAGAAATCAAGGCAGAATTGGGGCTCAGGGAAATGCCTACATGTTGTTTCATTATCATGGTTACCACTTGTGTTTTCAGGCTTTCAATATAAACAGTGCATTATTCAATTAAACAAATTGGGTCTGTCTAAGGCTTCCTCTTTCTCCATATTGAAAACATATCAGCTAAAACATGGTTGCTACATGTGGTACGCATTGAAACCGGTAACTATAGACGCAGACACACTTGCGGAGCTCAGTAACAAAGTGTGTGGTTTGGTTACCAGTTTCCTACAGTCTCCATGAAAGCCTTATTGTACGTCTCAGTGCTGAGAAACGTCTCTGTTTAGCAGGAGCGCTTCACATATGGAGCGGCTCGGTTTCCTGTTGCTTTGAATAAACTTGGAAAATACAGAATCAAGCTGTCATTTTATCCCAATGCATATAAAACAATCCGAGGGACTTTCTCAGACAGAGAAAACATAATGCATATTTTTCATCATCAGCCTGAAATGCAGACTTTATTTTGCGGTCAGGAGGCCAGACATTAGCTTTCAAATGCAAAAGCGCGCTCTATTAAAACTGATTATGTGGGCAGCTGTTAAAGCTTATCTAAGAAGGAATGCAGCCTGCAGTGTATTATTTTCAGAGAGAACCGAAAAATATTTGATCCATAACAGTTCTCATGGTTACAAACCAGCCAAATGTACAGCTGGGATGAAAAATGATCCTAACTAACTTTCTAATAAATCGACCCAACTTCATTGCCTTTTCATTTTCTAAATTGAACTCTTAGTAAGAAGCCCTGCTTTATCACACAACCATCAGCAATGGATAATAAATAATCTTTTCTGTTGAACTTTTCCACTTTTTTCACATTACAGGCACAAAAAAATAATTGAACTGTGATTTTCTATTAAACCAAAACAAATAGAAAGATGATAATCAGCATTTTTATTCAGCCCCATTTAATCTGATACCTGCAAATTAAAATAGCCTTTGATCAATCTAGTCATCACTATAATCCAGCTGTTTAGATTATTAAAGAGAGTTATGAAGCATCATGATTAGCAAAGAATTCAGCAGACAGCTGAAAAAAAGACAGGTTTAGGAGTTTTAGAGAAGTTAATAACATTAAAATGATATCTTCAGGTTTGAAATCTTACTATTCTGGTGATTTGTTTAATTTGTCTGAGTGACTGAAGAGACGTTACATTAAAAACTCTAGATGAAGAGCAGGGATCTAACCGCTAATAGACATGTATAGAGAAAGTGTTTTATTTTGTCTGTTTTTTAATGCACTGCTGGAAGAGGTTTAATGAGTCAGACTGTGTCTTTAGTTAAAGCCGCTAACTTTCATTACATTCTGTGAGTGCAGGCCATATTGGATTCAGCACTCTCAACTTCCAGAACATCCTGCTTCAGTTGAAGTAAAACCTGGTTCTAGATTGATTGACTAACTTTATTGATCTCACAGTAAAGATATTTACTTGTTAAATCAGCTCATATGGTCAAAGAAGAGGAATGTGCCAAAGGAAGAAACGGGTTCATCGAATATATATACAGTATATACAGTGCGTCCATATATGAGTTTTTTTTTTTTTTTTTTTTTTTTTTATAGTAGGATCAATATACAGGGTTATTGCAAAGGGTGTTTATTCTGGTATTTATATGGATGGATATTTTTTTTTCTCTTATGCCCCAGTTCTGCCCTTCTTTGTGTTCATCTGTCGCATATAAATCTAATGAAATACATCAACTCCTATGGTACAAAATCTAGAAAGTATGACGAGTACGGATACCGCTACGTGGTGCTAAATGCTCCATCCATCAGAAAGATTACTTCTGTGTTCAAACCCAAATCTAAATACTTTGTGTTGTGGCCTGTGAGGAGAATTACCTTATAATCGGCTGCCTTTAAGCATCCTAGTTCTGCCACCTGATCTTAATCCTTTGGAAAATTCACCCCATTACTCAGTTTCTCTCATATAGTTCAGATCTTTACACAATAAACCCTAAATCTCATTCTTGTCATTATTTGTTATGAATTCTGTTTTTATAAAGGCGCTAAAGAAAATTATCATAATGGTTCCCATTAGAAAATAGAAAATAAAAATGCTCCTTAGTAGTTATATTAACATCTTCATACTTTGCGCTGGTTTACCCTTAAAAAATAAACTAGATAGATTTTGAGTTTTAAAGCTTTATTAGGTAACTTTTGCTGTTTATATTAAACTAAATCTGGACAATGTCATACATATTTAATTTACCACATCTCACATCTTTATCTTATCAGTTTAAGGTTTTATTTTTCATTACTTCACTTTTAAAGTGAAAGAGACAGTATTGGCTGCTACAGCCTCCTGACTGTATGGTTAATATCACCCACAATCCAAGCTGCGTTCATTTTCTACATATAGTTGTTTATGTTGGAGAGAAATGCTAAAGCCGTCCTGATTATATTTAACGATGTTAATAGAAAATAGCAAATTTTTTTAAACGGGTGGAGAACTGCTTCTATAAGACTTCATGCAAAACAGTAACATAAACTGCTGCTGTAACCGGGAGAAAATATGCTAACATTAAGTAGCACAAGTTATCACCAAACTGTGGTGAATAAAAACATTAAGTAATGACCACAAAAATAAAAATAAAGACTTTGTATCCAATTCATTTATTTGATAAAGTGTCAGACAGGTTTCAAGAAATGCTTACACTTAAAGGACTGTGATCTTTTTTATGAACTTCTCCAGTAAAGATTGAATGTTAGAATAAAAAAGGTTTTATTTAAAATATGCTTCCTATTTTTTATAATTTCCATTATGTTCTATTTTCTTCTGGCCTTGCCGTCTCCTACCACTCCCTCTTTTATGCTTGTTCCCCCTGGAGTC